ATATATAATAATATAAACATAATAGTAAAAGTACAATTATGATATATATATTGTATAAAATATATAAAATAATTACCATAATAATAATAATACATATAATTTTATTAATAATACAATTATAAATTCAGTAACTTAATATAATACTTAAATATAATAATATAATACATAATATCAATTATAAATGATATAATTGATTCGGTCACATCATATCAGTGTCAGTAGAACAATTAAACGATTCGGAGGACATGATAACTCCACTCACTCGGATTGACGCACTTCATATAATTTTCACTGATATACTCTTGCTTCTTCGCTGTTATTGAAACACACCTAGATGGATTTTACTAAATTGCACGACCAATCGATTTTCCGGGTATTTATGTTTATGTGCCATTTAGCCTACCTTCGAGTTTTGGCTACTCGCAGTTAGACATCTTGCGGTACTTTGCCTAATTACTTTGACCTTATTGTTTTGTCGACTCCCCGTTTATTCGCACATTGCAACAATAAACAACAAAAAATTAATTAATACTACAATAGTAATAAAAATTCATACATTAAGCTATTAAAGACTGGACAATGATCTTTTATCTGTAATATTACAAATGTAATACAAATGTAATTACAGAATTTAGGTGGAAGACGTAATAAAAAAATTGATGAACATGTTCATTATAATATTTATCATAATATTTTTAGCATTAATATTTTAGCATTCATCGCCATATGTAGTACTTATTAATCACGTACAATATTAAAATATTGAAAATAACTAAAAATAAAACGACTGTCTAGAGAGGCTGTACATATGAAAAAAAAAAAAAAAAAAAAAAAAGAAATTCTCTCCTATCCTCTCAGAATCATAATAATCGCGAAAGCCAGTGTTAACGTGGAGTTCGTAAATTTTTATTTTAATTCGTAAATTTTAATTCCGGGGCACATTGAATTTTCGAAGTAATTGAATACAACGTTACTGCCAATACGTAAATGATTACGTTAGCTTTTAATTAATCATTGTGATGTGCCCTTTTGTATTATACCGATGTATAAAATTTGCATCTATTGCACGCGGATATATATCTACCAATTGCAGCGGGTCGTAATAAAATTAGCCGGTTCAATGTTCGATGATAAATCAAGCATATTATACATGAATCATAGATCAAGCGTGGACGAACAGTATTCGCTTTAAATGAAATTTTTTTCCTTTTTGAAGGATTTGAATTTTACGTGGAGTGACGATACATACGATTTCAGGGTTCAACGAAGAAAGGGATGCATTTTTTTTCAAAAATTTATATATATATATATATATATATATATATAT